CGGCGCGGACGCGCCGGTCAGACGCGCGGCCGCCGTGACTCTGCCCGCTCTTCTTCGTTGGCGCCCGCTGACTTCAGGGCGTTCGGCGTCGCGCCGCTGCGAGGCAATTTGGAGGGTGAAAGTGGGGGTCGGGCGCAGGGCCCCCGCAATTGCGTCTTCATGGGCCGCGCATGGGCGATGCATCATCGATTGCAGCATTCGGAGGGGGGGAACCAGTCGAAGCCCCCCGCCTGCGCCCGCGCGCGAGACTCGACCGTGAACGAAGCATGGGGGCGGGGGGCTCGGGCAAGGCGACGAGGGCAATGCACGCTGAGGGCGCCCCAGAAAAGGTTGGAATAAACGAAAGCGGCGAGGTGAGTATCAAAGTCTGCCCAGCCAACCTGACGCGCGGAACACTGCGCCTCAGCTTTGGGGATTTTGGAAACCAGGGCATAATGTGAATTCGCGCTGCGGGGAAAAAGCAACACGCGAATTCAAAGTTTGGGAAAAAGGCCAATGTGAATTCGCATGCTGGGGAAAATGAAGTCACATTTTGGAATTTCGCCTGGGAATTTTGATGAAGGGACCAGAGTGAGAATTCACATTTGGAGAATAAAGGAGAATGTGAATTCACATCGTTTGGGGGGAAGAGCGACAATGAAAATTCGCATGTCGGGAAAATCGCGGGGCCCATGCCAAATCGGTCTTGGGGGTCGACAAGTCATCGCAGGGGAACGTACGCGATCATCAATCGCACAATCAAGACACACTTGTACCCCACTTCGCCTTCCCACGCGCAATATGCAAGTGCCCCGGCGCGCGTGAACGACCATGGGTGGACGGCGCGCGCGCCCGCGCGGGCAACGCGCGAGCGCGAGCGACTGGCCCTCCATGACCGCCAACATTGGATGCCAATCATGCCCGATCACATACTTGAGCATACATGGGCCATTCAGCACCCATTGAAAACCCCCTGTTGCAAACTCCCTCATTCGCCCTCCAGGCAATGCGCCGCTGCACCACGCGCGCGACGCCGGTTCTTCCCCGCCGCGAATTCGCGCCAGGGGGCACGGGGGCGCTATGCGTTGGTACCGTTGGCGGCCTGGCCCCAGCGCCTGTTCTCTTCGCAAATTCGCGCGTTCGCGCGGCCATGGTCGCGCCGGCGCAAGCTGCGGCGCCCTCGCCAGTAGGCTCGCGCGCCACGTAATTGGCGATGTCGTTCTGACAGAAGCCTCCTCGATTCATGCATGTGGAATCGCCTAATCTTTTGGTGATCGCACCGGTCAGCTGATCCAACCTGGCGCATTCTCAACGCAATCATCATGATTAGTCCGATCCAAACTCATGGCGTTAATAATATATTGTGGCTTCTGGGGGCTGGTGACTGTAGTCGGCAATTTTATGCTCGCCTGCCTCGACTCTTTGGTGCGTGTCTCCGACCTGCCGCTGCCGCTCGCAGGGCCCCGTCCTGTCTGGCGCTCATGCAGCATATCATCGCGCTGCTTATTCAAAGGCGAATTGATCCTCTGTTCGATTCTGGCCTTATCGAGTCTGTGGCTCAGTGCCGCAACCTGTTCATGGCAGTGCTACCCTGTCTCCGTTGCGCGCCGCATCATGATTCCCTCATTCGACAGCAGCGCGAATTTCAGCGTCGACAGCTGGGCGGAGTGTCTTTGAAACATGGGCCATCATCCGAGTTTCTTCTGCAACGGCCCGCGCTTGCTGGTCGCCGCGCCCATGCTTGGCGCGTGGCAGGGCCGGGGGGGCATCTCCTCCTTGTTCCTGAAGTGAAGAACCGTCCGTTGTTGCCTGATTCGCTCCTGCGACGCAATTTCCGCATTCGGCGGGCCACTTGCCGGCGCGAGCGCGTCGACTTGACGCTCGTTGGTCTCATGCATCGCGCCGATGCGACGCTCGTCGGCGTGGTCCGCGCCAAATTGACGCTCGTCGGTTTGGGTCATCCTGGCCAGCATGAACGCCTTGCTTTGACCCGGTCGCCGAGCGCGGGGAAGGGGCGCAATGTCGAATTGGCGCGCGGCGCATTGCCCCCGTTTCTCGGCCGCGCCGAACCCGCCCCGGACGCGGATCGAGGAGGCGGATCCAGCATCGAGGGGGATCGGGGATCGAGGTCGAGAAAGATCGAGGCCGAGGAGGATCGAGGTCGGGGCCGAGGAGGATCGGGGATCGAAGTTTTTGTTTGTGCGATGTTCTGCCAACATCAGCGCCAAGCTTCCCCGCCGCAGCTCGACGCAGCAGGCCCCACCACCGCAGCGCCTGCGGCAGCGGGTTTCTGCGCCGCGACTCCCGTGCGAAGCGCCCGCGGGAGTCGGTGCGTCGACTCGAGACCCTATAGGACTGGCATCTGCGTCGCCAATTAGTCGATCCGCCCCAGCCGCGGCGGCGACAGCTGACCGCTCGCACGTCACAGCGCGGCTGTCAACGGCCCCGCCGACCTCGAGCGATGTGTCCGACATCGTCGCCCGAGATCTGCAATCAGCGAATCCATCCCCCCGCGTGGGGTGCTTTTCGCATGCTAACCAACGCGTGGGGATGGAATCGCCCATGGACCAAACCTCCTCGTCCGGACATTCGTGGGCCCTGGCTCGCCTGTCAAAGCGGCCAAGTGTCCGTCAATGTTTCGAATTTGCGCCCTGCCGTGATTTCGCGAGAACGCCCCCGTCGCCCGAGATCTGCAATCAGCGAATCCATCTCCCCGCGTGGGGTGCTTTTCGCACGATAACCAACGCGTGGGGATGGAATCGCCCATGGACCAAACCTCCTAGCCTGGACATTCGTGGGCCCTGGCTCGCCTGTCAGAGCGGCTAAGTGTCCGTTAATGTTTCGAATTTACGTCCTGCCGTGATTTCGCGAGAACGCCCCCGGGGAAAAAAAGCAAACATAACACATTGCAAGTCGGCTCGGCGCGACGCGACGCAGGGGCACCGCCCTTTGAATCGCGAGCCCGAGCCACACATGCTACGCGACCCGTCTTGCATGCAGACGCAACAGCCCAAGCAGGAGGGAACAACAAAAAGCAGAAAAAGGGCAGGACCCAGACGGAACCTGGACCCCCCGAAACCCTGCCTGGGATACCGTCAAAATGAAGCATGCGCCGATAAAGGAACTCGAAACACAAAAAGAACAGGCCCAAGACATCCGCACGAACCTCCGAAGCTTCATGTTTATGCAATGTTGTTCTTTTCGATTCGGAGACGACTGGCTCAACATAGGGTTTGGGAATTAAGGAGACTGTCGCGGCCGTCGGCCATGTTCGTGTTCGGCCACTCGTCTCAGGCTGCGCGCTACGAAAGTAAACGCATACTTCGATACCACCACTCCACGAATCTCTTCGGGTGGTACATTCTGACGATCATTCCATGGGATATCTGGCAATGGAGACTAGGGAACTGCAGCGGTAGTGGTACTTCTCCCTCCCATGAGAACGCGTGAGAATCCTGTAACATATCATGAATAATATGTTGTTTCCTCCGGCTAACGAACCTCGGGCCAGATGCTGGACATCCGCGCGGATCTTCGACAATTATGTTCATGCCGACTTGTCGTCTCCGAAGTTTGGCAGCCTGACGACGCACCTGCGCTGTCGGCGTGCAACAATTTGATGTCACATCAATGGGGGTCGGAGCGCCTTTGGCGCGCGGTGGCTGCTCGCGACGGGGGTCGATATTAAAAGACTCGGCCTGGACCAAAACCGAGGGCCAGCCAAGGTTCTTCCGGGGTCCGCTGTAATCGCCCGCGTCGGCGAACCCCACCCAGGAAGGTCCCAAAAAACAAGCCCAGGTGGCTTCAAGAAGCCCCCAAACTGGTCAAGGAAAGCCCCAATTCGCCCCAAGATCGCTCCAAGACGCCCCAGATGACCTCAAGATGGTCCAGGAGGCCTCCAAGACGCCACGAGAGGCCTCTAAGAGGCCTCCCAAGAGGGCTCCATGAGGCACAATTCACTGAAATGCTTCGGTCTTTAAAGGACGGTGTCGTTTTCGCCCGTTCGGGTTTCCGACGCTCCAAGACGGCCCAAGAGGCCCCAAAGACCACCCCAAGACGGCCCGAGAGGCCTCCAAGAGGGCCTCAAGACGGCCTGAGAGCGCCCCACGAGGCGCCCAAGACTGCCAAAGAGGGCCCCAAGACGGCCTCCAAAAGAGCCCAAGAGAGGGAACACGAACCGAACATCTGAGCCTTCCGCCCCAAGCAGCCCCCGGGACGCGCCAAGAGGCGCCCAATGGGCTCCAAGAGGCCACCAAGAGGCCACCAAGAGGCCACCAAGAGGCCCCCAAGAGGCCTCTAAGAGGCCGAAATAGGCGCCAAAACGGCCTCCAAGGGGCTTCAAAACTGCCCCCAAATTGCCTCCGAGAGGCCCCCCACGAGATCCCAACGAACATCCATTAGGCTTTACACCCACAGCCCAGGCACGGTGGCGGGATAGGCCGACGTCCATTCGATACCATTTTCATATCGGGCTCGGGAGGCTTAACAAAGAAAATTATATCATGATGCGATCGACTCAAGACTTGTATTGTAACTTCCGGAGATGTTGTCGGCAATCGGTCGTATTCATACTCGGTCATTCGTCTCTGGCTGCGCGAGGCAGCAATGCAACTGGGGGAACCTCACCAGGCATCTCACGGGGCGCGTTCTGAACCGGGACTTGGAAGCGCAGCCAGCCGTGGCGACAAGGGCCTGCTAGAATGCCCACACGGGCGGAAACGAGGAATGGCGGCAGGATCAACATATTTCCCTCCTCTGAACGGCTCGCCCACGATCTGCGCCTCCAACCGGCCCGCCGGCGGATCCTGACAAAACTCGACACACTTCCAACCTCAGGTCTCACAAAGCTAACCCGTGGACGTCTTCATCGTCAGGTACTTCGTCGTCGTCCTCATCACCACCGCCATGGTCCTCTGTGGGCTGGCGGAATGGCGCAAACCTCTTGGACAGGATGACTGGACAGGCCGGAATGCAGCATTACCACGACGTCATCCTGGAGCTCCTTCAATTCGCGCGCCCGCCTCGGGGCCGCCCGCCTCGCATGACACGAAGTGCAACGCGACGGCGCCCTCCACGTTCCAGTCGGTGGCCTCGAGCAGCCGCCGCGCGGCCTCGCGGAGCGAGGACCGCCGCCGCGACGCCGCGCCCTCTCGCACCCCCCGCCTGATCCTCTTCGCCGCGCATCCTCGCTCGTCGCCTCGCTATCAGCTCCCCGTCCACCCCGCGCCTCTCCTCCTCCTCCTCCTCCTCCTCCTCCTACTGAAAGCCTGAAGGCAGAACATATGGCAGATGTTGCCCTGCCAGCCTCGTCCTCCTACATTTCTACATTTCTCGCAATGCAGCGTCTTGTCGCGCGCCCCGCGGGCGCGGAGCGCGCCGCAGCGGCCCATCAGGGCCGTGCGGGCACTCGGACAGCGGCCCCGGGAACCCGACCCCGAGGAAAGCAGAGGGAACCAGGGACCAAGTGAAACCTCAGCGGAGGGAGAAGGGGGGCCGGGTTTCAGCAAAAAGAAAAAAGGGGGCCCGTCAGGGCCCACGGGCGGGCGCCGCGCGCGCCCGCGCCCGCGGGCGTCAGGCAGCGCGGCGCACGGCCAGGCCGTCGGCCTCTTTGTGGGCTGGCGGCCGCGTGGTGGCGGCTGGGCTCCCTTCGGCGCCTCGCGCTGAGCCCAGCCGCCGTGGGGTCTTCGGGTGGCTGGCTGCCCCCAGCTGCGGCGGCCTCCACCCTTCGGCGCAGCGCGCTGTGGAGGCTCGCCGAGTCGCTCGTGGGCTCCAGCAAGTCTGCAGCGGCTGCTCTCGTCATCATGCCGATCAAGGCCGGCTGGCCTCGGCCCCTCGCATGCCACGCGAGGGCGACGGGGATACACCCTTCGGCGCCTGGCGCTGTGTATCCCTCGCCGAGGGGCACGCCGCCCCTTCTCATCGAGTAGTCCATGATGTGCTCGAGCCTGCAGTGCTGCTTGACACTGTGGTGCTCGAACTTGTACCCCTCGTCCTAGCCGTGCTGGCCGGCTTGGTACTCCTGCGTATTCCTGTCCAGTCGTGCTGGTCGTCCTGGTACTCACTAGCCGTAGTATCCGATGTCGTCGGTCATGCCGCCCCCGCCTCTGCAGTACAGGAGGGTGCTGATCTCGGGGGTTGTAGATGGCGGTCGCTTGTAGGGCTGAGAATAGGGTGTGGAGCGTGCTGGTCAGGTCGTTGGGGGGTCGGATCGTTGCTGGTGTTGCGTTGGTTGTGGGCTTCCAAGGCCTCCATGCACCGACTTCAAGTGGGGGTCTTGGCTGTCCCACCTCGTCCCGCTATGGCTAGGGGTCACAGTGCCCTCGGTGGGGGCGAACCCCAGGCCTGGTACTTATTATCGTCGGAGTGGGATGTCTCGGCTGTCCTGTGCTTCGCCCTCGGGCGCTCGGGTAGCTCCTCCTTCTCCATGGGAATGGTGGGGGTGGCGAGCTAGGGCGGACCGCGGGGGCGCAGGTAGTGGCCGTCCTACCCCCCCCCTGCCCCTCACCATCCCCGCTGGTGGGCGCGGGAAGTACTCGTCCTTCCCCCCCGCCCTTCGAGCCCGTCTCGAAGTTTGATCCTCACCAGGACAGCGTTGACTTGACAAGAGGTGTGCGGGGTCGTGCTGGGTATGCTGTCGATGTCGGTCAATAGTACGACGGCGACGTGTGGACCGCCCGCTGCCAGCCAGCTGGTGCCCTCCAAGTTGTAGGTAAGCCTCGTCCTCCTCGTCGTCGTCCTCGTCTTCCTCTCCCTCATCCTTGCGTTGGACAAACGCTAGTCGGGGTGAGGCGTCGCGCCTTGATGGCCGCGAGAAAAAAAACGCCAGAACGCAGAGCTCGAGCAATTTCACCGACCAACAAGCAGTGCGTGCACGATGGAAACTAAAGGGCGAGCACACATTGGACAAGAAGAAAAACCTGTCAGGTCAGCGGAATGCACATCCTCCCTCCTCCTCCTCCTCCTCCTCCTTCTCCTCCTGCGTCGGGCCCTTCGCCCTCCTGCTCGTCCACCCGATGCTCCCCTTCTTCCTGCGCCGCGCTCTTCGCCTTCTCTTGCCTCCTCATCCTCCCCCCTCTCGATTCCTCTCGTAGCCCTCCTGCAACTCTCATCCTCTTCCTCCTCCTCCTCCTCCTCCTCATCCTCCTCCTCCTCCTCCTCGACCCTTGGACAGGGAGGACGGGATGAACGAGCCGGAGAGGACTCAGACGACGTCCCAAGTCCCCCCACTCCCCCGCACCGTTGCCACTCATCCGTGCTGGTGATGCTGCTCCTCCTGGTCACCGTCCTCGCTATCCTTGTCCCCCTACCATGTGCATTTTTACGTTCTTGAGAGACGAGCTATTGCCTTTCGTTGTAGAGACACTGCGATACACAACAGTCAGAGCAATCAAATATACGTCAGACCCGGGCACTGCAGCAGCGCGCGTCGGCGAGAAATAAGAGAAGCAAGACAGTTGGGACAACAGTGCACAGGGCCTATGTTATCTTGCCTGAGCTCGTTCGATTCGGGCGCATGTAACGATGCCCGTCGAGCTGGATTGCCATCGCCGCGACCTGACGCGGCGCTGAGGCCGAAGGTCCTGGCGGTCAACACACTCGCAGCGGTCGCTTCGCTTGGTATGTTACTGTCCTGATCCACCACAACCACTTCTCAACCACCGCCCCCTCGCCCGCCAGTCTAAGCCAGCGGTGCGCCAGACCAAGTGTCCCTCAGCCCACCTGCACACTCTTGTGGCCGACGCTGCCTGCCAGCGGCGGAGGCACGCTTCCTGAGGCTTTCGGTTCGGCAGAAACGTCCGCGGACCTACTCTCCGCGATTGCCCTCGCCGAGGGTTAGAATAGCTACGACTCGTTCTCAACACTCCGAGTGTGGTACACCAGTAACCTCATTGTTCCACGGCCCCCCGAGCCCCGCATCTTCAGGGCACACCTTGAAGCAGGTAGGCGCCCAGGTGCGATTCGCTGCGGCTGAAGTTTTGATGAGAACACCCGAAGAAGAAGGCGCTTTCGAAGGACTCCTCCTACACCTCCGTCCCCCGAACTTCCACGCACACACACACACACACCACGCTTCTCCCTCCTGGGTCGATGCCCTCACCGGGCTCCCCCGGGATCTTTGGTTGGAGTGCACGCACGGCGAGTAACTCAAAACAGGGAGAGATACTGCTACAATCCATGATGTACTAAACGCTATGCTGTACCACCTATGTTGCATGAAAGCGCGGCTCGCAGTGCCGACACAATTAAGATATCATGCCTGCCTCCTCCCACCCCAACTTCATGCGTGATGAGAGGAAGTGGGAGGAGGGAGAAAGTTGATGAATGACACAAACCGAATGATGGCGATGTCCAGCCATCCTCCAGCGCCGCAACGGTGGTCAAGAGCAAGCAGGATGCGCTACCGCCCACGGCCAGCTCTCACGCAGATCTACTCCTCCTCCACGAACCCCCCTACGCCTCCACCTCCACCTCCTCCTTTCTGCCTTCATTGAGGCCTGCGTGCAACGAGGGACACAACTTGGTATGCTGCCGGCGGAGTGTTGGGGACAAGCGTCGAGCGCCTTAGACCCTTCGGGCCCTGCTGGCAGACAGCTGTCCAGGCTACGTGGTTGCCCTCGCCGAGGGACCTGATTAGATCACTCTGCACTGATCCTGGCTGGCGGCAGCGTAGATATTCTTCCTCCTCATCCTCCTCTGCTAGCCTCCCCCCACCACAACCAAGTCGCAGCTGAGTGCCCTCGCCCAGGTCAATGCAGAACGCGAGCCACTGGAAAATTGTGCCCAGAGGGCCTCATCTGGATGATCAAAGTGATGATCATAATTTTAGAAATATCAATGCTAATGATGATACTGATGATGATGAGGATGATGATGCTGATGATGATGATACTGGTAATGACGATGGCAGTGCTCCTGATGATGATGGCAAGAAAAGGTGATGACGATCCTGATGATGATGTCGATCATGATAATGATGGTAAATCTGATGATGGTGATGGTGATGATGATAATGATGGTGATGATGGTGGTGATAATGACGATGGCAATGGCAATGGTAATGGTGATGGTGATGGAGACAATGGTGATGATGATGCTGCTGCTGATGATGATGATGCTGATGATGCTGATATTTGTGATGATGAAGATGATCGTATCGTCCAGCCGTCATCTCCTCCTCCTCCTCCTCCTCGACCAGGGCCGATAAACTAGAGGATCCCCGGGGGGAGGCCTTAACCTTGAACGCCCGCCACCCGCGCGTCGGCAGCGCCCCCTCCACACCCACGCAGCCTTTGTCCCGAGCGTCCCGCCCTCCACGGGGGGGACTAGCGGTCGTAACCCCTCTGGGAAAAATCACCGGGAATCAGAGGCTCCGCCAGCATCAGTCAAAACCGCTATCCCGCCACGCAGGCGCCGGAGCAGCCCTGTGCGGCATGCTCTTCACACACGCCCGCACACTCTAACAAACACACACAAACGCACACACACACATACACACACACACACGCACACACACACACACACACACGCTCGCACGCACAGCTCCGGTCTAATCCGTCCCATGCGTCACCCTCGGCCCGCGCCCCCGTAGCCTCAGCGTCCGAGCCGATGATCTCGGCCACCTGCGACACGCTGGCCTGGTGGGGGGAGGGGGGAGGCCAACGACGGCGACGCCGACCATGTCTGGTGTGAAGGCGGAGGAGGGCGAGGGCCTAAGCGGTCACTGGCCGCATCATCCGAGGTCCCCTGAGGTCCCGAGCCTCCGCCCCCCAACAAAAACAACCCGCGCTCGAAACCTTGACCCTCGATCCCTCGATTGGCGATCTCGACTGCGAGGACGCCGACCAAATAGAAGGAGAAAGAAGAGAAAGGGATGCAGGAGCTGGAGGAGGAGACCTGGGGCAGCGGGGACAGCCATCCTCCTCGCGCAAGGGGCATCCCCTCCTTCTGGAGGAGGGGGAAGAGGAAGCATCTCCCGCCATCCATCACCTCCGCCTCTTGGCTCTCCCACAGGCTCGCAAGACGCCCCAAGAACCTCTCCCGAATGCCGCCAACATGCCCCCGATGGGCTTCCCAAAAGACCCCACGACACCTCTAAGGGAAATGTTTTCAACGACCCAAGAAACGATGGCGGGATGGGCCCGAGGCGGCTAGATCTGCCGCTCACTGTGCTTGCTATGCGGGTGCACTGCATGCTGAACCTCAGAAGGGTTTGGCCCTTCCACCAAAAATTCCACTGGCCTTCGGCCCTTCCCGCCAGCCGCCAGCAAGACGGGAAACTCTTCTGTCTGGAGGTGGGTGGAAAATAATATTTCCACTCCAGATGACGCCAATATTGCATCCGAAACTGGCAAGATTGCCTCCAAGACGGCTAAGGTGGCCCAATGTCGCCTGCGAGATGGTCCCAAGACGCCTCCAAGACGGCCATCATAGGCTCCCAGGAAGACTCCAGGAGGGCCCAAGAAGGCCTCCGCTGCTTCTTCTTCTTCGTATTGTTCCTCCCATTCTTATACATAACATTATTCTTCGTGTTATCATTATTCTTATTACTGCCCCTGCTCGGCCTCCTTCTCCTCCTCCTGTCTCTCTCTCTCTCTCTCCCAAGTGTTCCCCCATGGACTCCTCAACGGCCAGGGGAACACATGGTCCAATAGCTTGGCAAGGCTTCGGCCCAACCTTTGGCCGCATGGTCGTGTCCAGAGGCAGGGGCGGCGGAAATTCGCCGCAGGCGTCTTCGATCCGCCGCCCCCAATTGACGTATCACAGGGGTGCCTGGCGTGCCATGTGTTGCAGTGGCATAAGGGCTGCTCAAGAGCTTCCCAGTGGGGCCTCGGCCGGTCCAACCACCCACCACGACCAGAGTCCGCACAACTCCGCCTCCCCCCAAGGAAACGCCTCGCCTGAGATATCATCACAAAATGGCGATACTAGCCCCAAATATGGCCAAAACAAGATTGACCAAGACGGCTTCAAGAAGGTCTCAAGACGCCTCAAAGATCGCCAAGGTGTCCCCAAAACGGCCAGAGGCCTCCAGTCGGCCCAAGAGGCCGCCAAGACGCCCATCGAAGGCTCCAAGAGGACCTCACAGAGGCTAGAATTCAACGTTCTCGCCTGCTCGGACTTCCAACGTTCCAAGGCGCCCCCGTAAGCCCACAAGATCGCCGAATGGGGCCCCCAAGAGACCCGTAAGACGGCCCAAGAGAGCCCCATGACGGCCCAATGGGCCCCCAAGACGGCCCCACAGACCTCGGCCCAGGAGCGCCAAACGAGGGACCGACGACTGCCATTGGAGGCCCCCGAGATTGCCTCCGAGGGCCCCAGAGCCCCGCAAGAGGCCCCCTAAGAGGCCCCCAAGTGGCCCCCAGGAAACACCAGGAAACCCCATGACGGCCTCAAGAGGCCTCCTGTTCCTTTTCTCCCTCATTGTGCTCCTTCCACCCTTCCATGTTCTTTCTCTCCTTATCTCCCTCTCCCTGTACCTCGTCCCACTGCCCCCCCTCCCCCTCTTCCGCCTGCCCCTTCGCCCTCCTCGAACACGACCACGACTGCGACAACAACGACGATGACGAGGCCATCTCGAGGACGACAACGAACATGCCGCCGACGACGCCGCCGCCGTCGACGACCCTGGAGGTCTCTGCACACAGAGGCCCTTGGCGGTCCACGGGAAGCCCCCGGACGCATCCACGAATGCTCCCACCGAAGGCCCTCGAGGGCCCTACCAGGCATCCTCCGGCATTCTCTTTCCAATCCGAGGGGCCTCGACCCCTTCACCGGTCGGGGGTCTTCTGACCCGGGTCAGCAGGAAACCAAACAACTGCAGTGCAAAAAAAACTGCAACGCAGGTCTTCGCAAACCTGGGTCAGCCAATATGCGCGGCGGCCCCGCGGCCACGAGCGGCTCGCTAACCCGGGTCAGCCAGAGGGGGTCTTCGCAGGATCCTGTAGATCCTTGTCTCGAGGCTCCCGACCTGGGGGCAATCATTTTCCCCCGGGGCCAGAATCGCCGCCACCTGGGGCCTCGAGGAACTACTGGAAGCTCTCAAGGGACGCCAACTCGGGGACGCTCTAACCCAGGTCGGCAAAAACCTGGGTCGGCCAGTGCCTTGTCGCGAATCCCTGGCGGCCGACTACTTCAAGGATTTTGCTCTTACGTTGTTTAATTTGTTACAAGGTAGGTTACACCTGTCTCAATGATACAGATGTTATTACCACTATGTCTTTCACGTTGCTCAGAGATATATTCAATGGCTACTGCCATACAAAGTTCGTGTCCGCCACTGACTGACTTTGTTATGAATTAAATTCGGTCAGCGTCTACACCACTAGGTGGCACCGGAAACAACTTATGTAACTTATGTGGACGCTACGTAAGCCCATGATACATTACAAGGAGCTTGCTGATATACTTTCAGGAGTAGATTTGCTCAAAAACGTGCAACGCTGCGCGGCGACACTCTGGAACTATGTCAAAACTAAAGCTGCATGTATTTAGCTAGCGGTTTGGGTTGGTGGGATGTTGTCAATTGTGCCCGTAATTCCCGATTACAAGTTCCCCCCACAATTTGTCACAAACTCCTCCTCCAGCTCCTCATCCTTCCCGTCATATCCCACTCCACGCACCATTACTTGGTTCGGGGCCGATTTGGGAGCGGGGGGGGGGGCGGGGTCTTTGAACTTACGCATTCCGAGCTCGGGGGCCCGTGCGAAGCCATTGGGAAGGGTCCCGGCACGTAGTCCCCGGCACCGAGCTCCGGAGCAAATAAGGAGCCGCCTTTAATCGCCGCCACCGTGAGCGGGGCCATCTGGGGTCCCAGGGAGGAGTCCCAGAGACGCCGTTGCCGTGCGTGGTTGTCCAAAGACAGTTCCGAGATGGCGCGCTCGGGTAGCGAGAAATTCAACCAGCCCTCTGAGCGTAGGAGGTCAAACGGTATTTTCGCTTCCTCAGATAAGATCATGCTGTCCTTCGTGGAGGGGCACCATCCCCACCCCACGCCTGGGTATTTTGGGGAAGCCGCGAGGGGTTAGAGCGTCTAAGAAGGCCTCGGCGAGAAAACACAAATGAGTAATCTGACCAAGGCGTTAAAACTATTTTGGTCTCCCAGGGGGACCCTCATTAAGGACCCCCCCCTTTTGATCAATCTCCTCCAAGATTGTCCATGAGGTTCCTAAGAGTGCCCCAAGGGTGTCCCAAGGGGCCTCAAGAGGCCCCCAAGAGGTCCCGAAGAGGCTCCCAAGAGACCCCAGGAGGCCTTAGAAGGCCCACCCAAGGCACCTAAGACGGTCCAGGCGGCCCCCAGGACTGCCAAGAGGCTCCCACGACGTCCGAAAAAGGACTCCAACAAAAACTTTCAAGAGACATCCATCGAGACTCCGAGAGGCATCCAAGTGACTTCTAGCCTTTCTGCTCGCCCACCTGCTCCTCATGCTGATGCTGTTGCTCCTCCTCCGACTTGAGCCTGTATAGAAGGCCTGGGCGGACTCAGCAATATCTCCCCACATCCAAAGTGTGGTTCTGGTTTTCTCTGGACACCCCGCGCAGGAACACACAGGAACACACATTCGCTCACACTCACATTCGCTCACACACAGACCATCGTCATCGCCTTGGGTATCATTCGATCACACATTCACTCATCCACTCACTCATCATCTGCATCCTCATCCTCATCCTCATCCTCATCCTCATCCTCATCCTCATCATCACCAGGTTCATTCATTCATTCAATCATCCACTCACTCACTCAATCACCATTTCGTTCGCTAGCTTGAATATGGGGGACGTATCAGGCGGGAGGCTCGTCTGTGAGTGACATGCGAAGAAATCTCGGGCGGGAGCCGTTTCCCTATGGTGCCCGCGCTTCACGCTTTTATTCCGAGCGGGTCATCCTCGAACCTGAAAATGTAATCATTTTCGGGTTCCTGATGATTGCATATTGGGGAAATATCAGGCGGCAGGCTCGTTTGTGACTGATAGGCGAAGAAATCTCAGGCAGGAACCCCTTGTTGATGGGGCCCGCGTTGCACGTTTGTAATATGAACGGGTCCTCCTCGAGCCTGTAACTAATGTCATTTTTGGGCGCCTGAGGCCTGCTACTGGGGAGAATATGAAGCGGGAGCTTTGTCTGTGAATGAACGGCGGGGAAGTCTCAGGCGGGAGCCCTCTCCCTATGAGGCCCGCGGCTCATGTTTATTACCCGAACGGGTCATACTCGAACCTGTCATCCGCTTCTGAGGCCTGCATATGAGAGAAGTATCACGCGGGAAGCTCGTCTGTGAATGAACTGCGAAGAAATCTCGGGCGGGAGCCCTCCCCCTTATGGGCCCGCGCATCACGTTTGTAATCCGAGCGGGTCACCCTCGAACCTGTGGGCCGCTGAGGCCTGAATATGGGGGAAGTATCAGGCGGGAACCTCGTTTGCGAGTGAACTGCGGGGAAGTCTCAGGCGGGAGCCATGTCCCAATGGGGCCCGCACATCACCTTTGTAATCCGAGCGGGTCATCCTCGAACTTGTAACTGTCGTCACTTTTGGGCTCCTGAGGCCTGATTATGGGGGGGACTATCAAGCGGGAGCGTTGTCTGTGAATGAACTGCGAGGAAGTCTCAGGCGGGAGCCCTTTCCTTTGGGGCCCGCACT